GCTATCTAGATTCGATTTTGTTATCACTTATCGACCTGGAAGGCACCAAGGACTATCCGATGCTTTATCAAGGAGATCGTATCTTGCACCAAAGGCTGGAGAAGCAGCGTTTGATCAACAATGTACAACGTTATTGAAGCCAGAGAGATTTCAACTTTGTGCTACTATTGTATCATTTGATGCTGACTTCCTAAACTAGGTACGTGCTATGACCATTAAAGATTCAGTAGCCATTGATATCAAGCAACGTACCAATGATGACAAGTTCAAGGTGGAGGGAGATCTTTTATACTTTGAAGAGCGATTGTACATTCTAAAAGGACTAGCACGACTCCGAGTTCTTCAATTTCGCCATGATTTTCCAGCTGCGGGACATTTTGGATTCAACAAGACCTTGGAGCTTATTTCTCGAGATTTTTGGTGGCTCCAAATGTAGAAGGATGTGAAAGATTTTGTCCTCTCTTGTGACATCTGTTCAAGATCTAAGAATCCTCGGCATCGCCCTTATGGACTTCTACAGCCATTGCCAATTCCATGTCGATCATGGTCTTCAATTTCTATGGACTTCATCACGGACTTGCCATCATCAAACTCATTTGACAACATCTTTGTCGTGGTAGATCGGCTTACGAAGATGGCACACTTTGTTCCTCGTAAGAAGACATCGTCCAGTGAAGTCACAGCAAGACTCTTTCTCGATAATGTGTATCGATATCATGGACTACCAGATGATATCATATCAGATCGAGGTACCCAGTTCGTGTCAAAGTTTTGGAGATCTCTCTTTGAGATATTGAAGGTGGATATCAAGCTTTCTTCAGCTTTTCATTCTCAAACTGATGGCCAAACGGAACGGGTGAACCAAGTCTTGGAGCAGTACTTACGATGCAGCATCAACTATCAGCAAGACGATTGGACTACTTATCTACCGCTAGCCGAGTTTGCATATAACAACATCCTCCATGCGTCGACTCAAGAAACACCATTCTTTTCCAACTATGGGTATCATCCGAAGCTTGATTTATTGAGTCCGTCAACAAATAACAATCTAGCAGCTGAAGGATTTGCGAAGCAACTATCAGAGCTTCAAACTATGTTGAAGCTTCAATTACAATCCGCTCAAGAATCCTATAAGACGTCTGCAGATAGATTTTGGAATCCAGCACCTACTTTCAAAGTTGGAGACAAAGCCTGGCTTCTTCGACGAAATATCATGACCAAGCGACTATGTGATAAGTTGGACTATCGAAGATTGGGACCATTTATCATCCAGAAGCAAATTAATCCAGTGGCATACCGGCTGGAGTTACCGGCTTCTATGAAGGTACATCCAGTCTTTCATGTTTCTCTGTTGGAACCTTATCGAGAGTCATCTTTTCCTGGAAGAGTGCAATGTCTGCCACCTAGTATTGAAATCGAGAACCACGAAGAATACGAGGTTGAAAAGGTATTGGATTCACGGCGAAGGTAGGGAAAGTTAGAATATCTTGTTCATTGGTGCGGCTATGATATTAATGAGCGAACATGGGAGCCAGCTGAAAATCTTGCGAATGTGCCACAAAAGGTACAGGAGTTTCATCAACGACATCCCGATAAACCTAAATCAATTCGATGATAGCTTCTTTCTGAAGCTTGTTCTCCCAACAATATAAGAAAAGAGGAGAGCACCAGCAAAATTCATAGTTGATGTAGTTATTTTCTCCAAGATAGATCGTAGTTTGGTCTTTTGATATGGATAGCCAAGAGATAGATACTATGCCAGTCAGAGTATTGCAACCGAGTAGCTCACGAAGGCGACCCCGAGATGAAGAACTACATGCACTATGACGACGACGGAGGATACCGAGTAACCGATCACTGGTGATCGTATTTGAGATCGAGCCTGCTTACGATGGTCAACCAGAAGGCATGTTTGCAGGACAATTTTACAATGAGGACACAAAAGTTCATGCTTGGTCAGAAGTCGAAGGTGTGGGCCACTACTGTTGGCTTCAAGGGTCGATGAACCACTTGCCTCGTGAACAACAGTTGGAGTTCATAGCAGAAGTTATGCGACAGATCTTCATTTTCTTGCATTGGTACTGATCAACAACATTGCTTCTCAGAGACCTCGAAGCTAAAGGAGGGGGTGATGTTAGAGACATATTCCTTAGAACTTTTTAGAGAGAAGTTTCTAGAACCTTCTAGAAAACAAGCCTCTGGAACCTTCTAGAAGAGAAGCCTCTGGAACCTTTTAGAGAGAAGTTTCTAGATGCTTCTAGAAAGGAAGTCTCTGGAACCTTCTAGAAGAGAAGTTTCTAGAAGCTTCTAGAAAGGAATCCCCTGGAACTTTCTAGAAGCTTCCTAGTTAATAGAAGTAGCTCGAGAAGTTTCCTAAGTAGGAGTATATATAGGGATCGATGTTGAAGAGTTCTTCAGTCTCGACAACACATCTCTTGGAGTTCTAGCTCACCTTTCTGGTGTTGTTCTTGTATTCATCTGTTTAATCTAGTTCTGCCTTTTTTTCTTGAACTTCTTGTTAGATTTCAAGTCTGTATTTTGTGTCCGTGACAACTTCTTGAATTTGAATACCTTTTATCTCACATATAATCTCTTCTTCCAATATCATGTCTTGGAGTTTTTGAAAAGAAGATATTAGTAGTATGTTAAGAATAACCATATATTTAAAATATAGCACAAAATGGTCTAAAGTTTAATAAAATTATATGGATTTTTTAGGGAAAAAAATGACAAATATTATATTTGAATGTGATGGTTGTAGGCATTATACATATACAAGCAAAGACACTAAAGATCTATCTTAAGGAATAAAGATAGAAGAATCAAACTTAAAATAATTTTTAACTATCATCTAAAATTCTTTTAGTTAAATTGTGTGAAGAAAATTTTAGAATATTATTATTAATCTTTTAAATGATAATACTAACACTTTTTGTAAAAATTTATTTAATTTCTTTTATATTCTAAGTCTAGAAATGAAGATTTTGAAAAAGATTAAGAAATCAAGAAGGCTCAAGCTATAAGCATACTCCAAGTTGTTATATGCATATCCATTATGTCTATACACACATCCAAGGCTTTTCATTGATTCATCCAAATCTCTTTTTTTTTGTTGTGCCATAGGTCTTAGTCTCCCTCCTTCTCTCCTTTGCCTCTATGCAGATCTTAATCTCCTTTTTTCTCTTTTTTGCCACAATATGGATCCTAGTCTCCCTCCTTTGCCTCAATGTAGGACTTTGCTCCCTCTCTCTCTCTCTTTCTTACCCCAGTGCACATCTTATTATCTTTCTTCTTTTCTATGGTACAAATCTTAGTCATTTTCTATCTCTTCTTTGCTCTTTTTTGTTATCAAATATAATGATCATGTCACAAGTAATACTCGCATGGTATGGACTAATTGTTATGCTACATTTTACAATGCCAAAATTTGTTTATTCTTGTGATTTTGGAGCACTTGCTCTAATAGTATTTTTTTCTTTTTTCTTTTTCTTTTTTTCTTTTTTTTTTTGTTCTTCTTCTACTCTTTCTAACATTTTTGCATGCTTGAGGAGTTAACTTTTTTTGTTGTCTTATTCTCCTAAGAAGTCTTAATTCAAGCTTTTGCTATCACTATACAATGTTTTGCAATCTTCCTTGGAAGCTCTATTCCTGTTTAGTCTGTTTGTTGTGAAATTTTAATAAATTATGTAGATTGAATTCCATTGAAGTTCATTTGCTGTGGATTGCTTTGTTTAGAACATGGATTTTTTCAATTGGGGTGTTGCCTAAGGCTCTCAATTGTTTTGGATCAAATTGATTAATATTTTTTTTGAATATTTTTAAATTTAAATCATATGCTCTAATTATTTTCAGTACTATTGATTCTTCAAATTTATGGATGATGCACACTTAGTATTATTCTATTGCTTAAATTAGTAGGTTTTCTTAGAGTGAAGCATTTGGATTCACTCTTCTTCTTCTATTATAAACTAATAGAATAATTTTTCAAATAAGACTTTTCTCTTTATGATGTATGATTTCTATGAAACATTTCTTTATTTGCTTTTGATATCTTTTAGAAGTTGGAAGGTTGACATTGCATGATATTGTCGATTGTTTTGTTGCAATTGTAGTTACAAAGCAAGATTGATAAATGTGTATAGAAATATCTTCCAAAATAGATTATTGTTGTTCTTAAACTATACTAAGCTACAAAGTTTGGTAATTATAAAGATAATCCTAATATTAAAACTTGGTTTGGAATACTAAAAAAACATGCAAAACTACTAAACACATTGCAATTAATAGTCAGTGACAAATATTTAAAAAATCTTTTACAAAGAAGATTCCATTAGATTTTAATATTAATGCTAATATTGTAATATCGATATATTGAACAATCTGATTTAATAATAAATTGGATATATCGGATGTAAAATAAAACCAAGCAAATCATGCCTTCAATAATACACAACTGCAAAAAGTAAAGTCAACAAAGATATTGGAAACACTGTAGATTAAAAATTAAAATTAATAAAATTTTCTACTAATATAAATTGATCTTTAAATGATACATTTAATAATTTTTTTTTAAACATTTTGAAACGAGTTACTATAAAATATAGCTTATATATATTCATTACAGTTCCTGCAATCAATATTGATTACAAGTTCAAACAATAAATTGTTAAAATTGAAATTTATTATTTTAAATTCTGATTTTGAAAAGTGAAGAAAATAAAATAATACATGATACAGGATGCAAAAGAAACTTGCATCAGTGGACGTCGGATGAAACTTCTTCTCTATTGAAATGGTGATTTGATTCAATGCAGACGAAACCTGTCGCCAGACAATCTGCATGTAGAAGTCCAAAACTCACAATTTATCAGATGAGAGCTTACATATCGTATCCTGCTCGTGGTTCGTACCACGTCATAATACAAACAATATCGTGACAAATGATCCTGACCAAAGCCCCTCAACACCTTTCAGGTACGAGTGTACATATTATACGCATATGTATGCAAACCAATAATATAAGTATACTTCTTTTAAAATGATTACATTAGAGGAAAAACATTATCACACGTTATGCGTGCATACAAGCTATGCTCACACAAGCTAGCAACTCATGAACCCACTTGTGTGCTAACTTCAGTATATGGTCAATTCTTACGGAGGTCATATTTGCAAAGCGCTTCTGTCAGCTTCTTCACTCGCAACATCCACCCTTGTGATGCTGCAGAATGCCATGAGCATCTTTTACAGTTAGAGTTCCTCAATACCCAGGAATATGTCGAAGTAGTCGCAGGAGTTAAGTAGTACGAGGCTGAATACTTGATTGGCTATTTGCATTTATATGAAAGCATATTGTAGCCATCGTGCTCCAACTATGACAGTTCTCCTTGCTCAACATTAAATGCCTGCAAAATTTCCTGGTGCTGCTGAACCTTCTTCATTTCAATTTCGAAGAGCTACAGAACACCAATAAGCGAAATGCTCATCTCTTCGTCCATTGCTGACAACTCCACCACATTGTTGACACAAGAAGCTACTCCCGTCAACCGAAGCATCATAAACCACCTGTTCCCTGCCAGTCTCCGCCAGTATGGAGGTTCGAACGCCATTGTGACTGTTGTCCGTCGTACCTCCTTGTAACCCTGTTTCTACTGACATTGGCTCTGATACGTCTGGAATGCTTAGAGGAAGCGTGGAAATGGCACATTGGGCAAATAATACTGTAATTTCGTCAGTAGCTTCGTTTGTCCTCGTGCCATTCTCGTATACTTCTCGAGCCCTTCTTAATGCTAAAGTAACTGCTTCCTCCCCTCCCATGCTGCGCAGGGCTGCAACTACCTGACATTTAACATGATTATACAGATGAGAACTCAAAACAAAAACTAGAATATCTAAGCGTGGTAAATATCCAAAACACATTCTGAAAAAGCTCGGTGACGAAATTGTTGCAAATCGCGAACTGCATCAATGAGAAAGGATTTTGATATTTGTAGTCAATCCAGCCCTGCCTACACTGGCCTAACGATAGTCGACAAATCATAACAATGAGATCAACACTAAAATTAGCATGGCCTAGATAGCATCTACACAACTTAAGATGCTCTAACTTCCATTCAAATCAATTCCGAATTCCACTGCTCGACTTACAGCATGTAAGGCAGCCACCGGATTTCCTTCATTCAAGTTTCGCCGGGCTGCGGTAAGAATCGAAGCGATATCCTCGCTGTGATTCTCAGCTCGGAATTCCCCAACTCCAGCCCCCAGAGAGTCCATTGTTTTGAGGTGCTACGCTAACTGTGCTCTATGCAAGCACAACATTATCACAAAATCAAAAACCCTAATATTAGGCTTCACAACTGTTAAAAACGAGAGCACCTCTGATTTACATACGTGTTTGACACTCACACTCAAACAAGGTACACTTAACAGTCAACAAAACCCGCAAGCAGCCAGCACGAAAAAAGAAACAAGAAAAAATAAAATAAAGTAAAATAAAATCACAATTGACTTGCGAATGATTGAGAACCAAAATTCTGGTTCTTTAGTTCCTGCATCTCAAGTGATGAAGTCTACCTTCTGGCGTCTCCAACAACTTTCTCGTCGTCCAACTTAATTCCCTCGACTCATGTGCTCGTAAGGAATTGTATTAAATTTCAGGCACACACTACAAATCACCCTCTTTAACCCCTCTACAGCCACAGCGCAAACCGATTCCGATCATCGAAACCAGATGCGTGAACACTGAGAACCGAAAGAGGTCCTCGATTGAACAATGCTACAATCCACGATCCACCCCAATGACCACGTCGCTACCACAACCCCATCAAAATCCTACCACTCTCACCTCTCATTTGCTGCACCTTGTCACACAGTTCGCCCCAGCACGACCATCTCAATTCAATCCACCATGCTCCTCCCTCACCATGAAAGCATCGCACCGGCAAAACAGCCACTCTAAACAACCTCCTCCGCCTGATCAGCAGCTGTATCGCTCACAAAAGCCTCGCCACAAGGACGCCAAACGGCAGCGGGCTGGACAGGCAAGCGCAACGCCTGACAAGGTCCTCCTTCACGCTTTGTCAGCGAGCCGGAAAGATCCAGATAACCAGGAATTGAGTGGCAGGTACACCCAAATCCCTCCGAGGGAAATGGAGGAAGGCCAAAAAAGGAGAGGCAGCAGGCGACAACGCAAGCGCATGCAAGCGAGCAAGCGTCACGGTGTGTGAGCTAGCGATCGAGCTAAGAATAGGCAATGGCGGTAGCGGGCGCGGGGGGGTTTAAATAGATGTCAGTCTGATGTCGCTGTCCCCCTGTTTCCCTCCGGCGCCGCTTCGAGCTCATGGGGTCAGTGGGCCTCCTCCTTACTCCTCCTCCTCCTCTGGCCTCTCGATGCACACGCCATCACCACCACTCCCACCACTTCCACCACTTCCACAAGCACCTACTCTCCTCCGCAAATTGCTCTCTCGATTCCTTCCAGCCCGCCCTCCTCCTCAACTCCTTCTGCCGCTGAATACCATCACGACGACGACAACGGCGACACAATCGGAAGCAGGCCGAAGAAGCAGAACCAGCAGGAGAGGACGAGCCTGGAAGGTTTGGGAGAAGGGTGCAGTGGGGAAAACCCCTTGCTCGTGAGAAAAACCCTAGAATCGTGTGAGTGAGTGAGTGCTTTGGCATTAGGATTTTCAACTTGTGACGAAATTGATGCTATGCAATGGTTTGGATACATAGCCTGATGGTGGATTACCAGTGTGTGTCTGTGTGTGTCTGTGTGAGTGTTTCTTTTTTCTTTGATGTTTTGAAATGGATCTAGAAAGGGTTTGTTTGTGAAAGATTGTTTGTGGCGTGATAATTTTATTTTGGTTATAGGGAGAAATATACGATGGCTACATGCTATGTTGTATTGTTTCAGGGTTAGTGTAGAGGTATCAATTTAGTCATTACCGTTTTGTTGAATTGTATGAGTGTTGTCATTGTAGTACAACATCAGGTTTTTACATTTTTCTTTTGTTATGTGTTAGTTTGTTGAAGGGTACATATGATTTCTTGTTCATGCTTAACTTGTGTTGAATAGTGTTTTTATTGTGCTTGTCTAATTTTGTGTTATGATGTAGTTAGATAATTATATATAATTTCAACATAATATTTGATTTCTGGAAATCATACATAAGTAAAAACAATAACATTATAAAAACTAATATATGTATGTAAGTTTTTGTCTTTATTTCTCCCTCTCTCTCTCTATATATATATTGGCATTAAGCTCTCTTGTCTGCTTAAAAATATCATGTTAAGGTAAGTAATTGAGGTGTAATAAGAGATAATACAGTTTAGATGAACATATTTATGGATGAATATATATGTTATTAGTAAATCTGATAATATTACTTGTTATGATTTTAAATTATGTAAAGTAACTATATGTGTATCTCAACTTTCATTTTCATCTATTTTTTGAGGAACCATTCTACAAGTCTTTTAGACAACTGCTGTAGCAAAATAATAATTATTACAAAAAAAAATAAATTATCACTTTATTCAATTTATTGATTTATATTTTCTAATTTATTTGGGTTTTGAAGTAATATTATTGTAAACATGCTTCAAAGCCAAAAGACAATTAAACTACAAGTATTATATATATGTGTATATATATATTTAAAAAATAAAGAATAATTAATTAAATAAAATACAGATACAAGATTTTTTTCTTTTTTTATAAAATTTTATTATTTAATCTTAAAATACCATTAAATTAAATTCTTTGGATTACCTCATCAATACTTCATAAGAATTTTTTAATTGCAATGTGTATTTTAAAAAAATTACATCTAAAAATACCTAATAAGTCATATATATATATATATATATATATATATACATACAATGTTATAATCTTAAAATTAAAATTATCATTTCAATTTTTATATTATTAATTTTTTTAAATTTTAGATTTTTTTATATAAAAAGAACCACAAATTGAAAATAAAAATATATATGTACAAATTTATTTAACATATTGCTTATGCCATTTTTTGAAGTTATATGAGATGTCAATGCATGAATGTGTGTTGTTATAAGATTTGCGGCTTAATTGTAGCACATTTGACTCTAAAAAAGAAGATGTTATATTAGCTTTTAATCCTTGGAACATACAACTATCCAACAACAATTTTTGTAATTATAATTCCTTGTCATAGGAGATTTTGAGTGACAACAACCATTGCCAATGGTAAATCAATTGTGTATGCTAAGCATGATCATAAAAGAGATTAGAACAATTGTTATCTTTAAATAGTTGCCAAATAAACAAATACATAGATGGGTAAATCAACACATAAATAGATGCATGATAGTTTAGATGTGATATATATAGACATTTACTATGTTAATATGTGATGTATATATTGATACTTATGTTAAATTAAATAGTGGTAGTAGTTATACAATAGAATAATTAAAATATAATTTAAAAATATTTATTTATTTTAAAATTATAAAATTATAAAATTATATTTTATACAAATAATTAAATTTATGAAAAATTAAATAAATTATATTTCTATAAATAGATTCATATGTAATTTTATTATTAACATTATAATATCAATTTAGATCATAATAAATTAAATTGAATTATTATATATATATATTGTAGAAATTTTCCTATAATTATTTAAAAAGTTAATATAAAATTTATAAGACATAATTTTATATATTATATATTTAAATGAAATATACATGTTACAAATTTAATCCATAGTCAATGTGTTTATAATGATGTCAAATATAATAAAAAAAAAAATATTATAAAATTATAATATTACATATTTTAGTATTTACATACTATAAAAGTAAGTATTCTAAAAATAAAATATAAAAAATTAATATAAATTAATAAATTTAAAATAGAAACGATAAAATATTTAATAGATAGTACAAAAGTAATAACAAGAAAGGTGAAGCATGTTTTGTTAATAATCTATATATATATATATATATATATATATATATATATATATATATATATATATATATATATATATATACATATTATTAAAATTTCAAAAGTGTATAAATTATCTAAAATATTACAAATAGATGCTATAACAAACAACCTACTATCAATAAATATTTGACTTAGAAATAATAATCTTATGAGGCAACATAAAGACTAATATACTTATAATTATAAATACCTATAATTATTTTTTTATAATTAAATAAATTAATAAATAATACACACATATATATATATATATATATATATATATATATATATATACACATTATTTTTTAAAAAATAATTTAAAACATGTAAACATGCTTACTCTTTTTTATTTTTTATTTATTTTTTTATTCATAGCATTGAGTAGACATTGTGAAAAAAAGAAAGAAAAAAATAAAAATAAAATAAAATAAACCACACCAATTATATTCTTTAACACATTTATTTTAAAATAATAATTTCTACATAATTAATTTTTTTATTATTATTAAAAAATATTAACAAAAAAAGTTATAAGATATTAATTAATTAAATTCTTATATATTTTTCTAACAAATGTCATTATAAAATATATTTCGTATTATTTATTTTCATTTGAGGATAAAATAAAGTAAGAATTATATATCTTTAGGTGTATTAATTAATTCCAATAATATTTTTAATGTATAGTTATTAGACAAAATTATAAGATATTTATGCAACCAATTCTATTATAAGTTTATGATAATTTTTTAAATTTTATCTTCATAAATTACTTATATACATATAATAACTTACAACTAAATTATAGATTTTTTCACCTTGTACCTTTTATTTTTATTTATTATATAGTTTATACTATGTCACTCTCTTTCTTTAATATATATTGAATATAATCACAAAGTTTTTCAGATAATAATAATTTTGTAGATTTTTATCTTATGCAACTTCAGAAGTTTTATTTGTATTTTTCAAAATATTTAAACATACTTTATGTATTATAAAGAGAAAACATTGGTTATGGTTGTAACTTTTTGTGTGAATAGTAGATTTTTATGACATAAAATCGTAATTTAATTAAATAAATATAAGTCTTTATGTAATAAAAAAGATTATATAAAATTCAAGTTATTTCCGTCTTGGTGTGCATATAATTAACTATAAGAGACAAGGGATTAAATACATGTTATATATATATATATATATATATATATATATATATGTTATTTGATGGTTGAAATATTTATATTAATTCCAATTCTAGAAAAGTAGGAATTGTATAAATTTTAATGATTTCAAATCCTAAGACATAATAAAGTATTCATAAATATAGTTATAAAGTAAAAATAACAATATATACATTTAAATTTGTTTGTAAAGGATACATATTTTATCCGTGTAAAATATGATTGAATAAAATTTATTCACATTCAACCTTACCAATTATATAATGTGTTTTTAGCATTATTGATATAAAAATCGTTTGAAAGAACTTGTATTTTTACAAATTTGTAGTAGAATACAATATGATTTGGAATATTTTCTTCAAATAAAAAAATTAAGCTTGTAAAATTTCTTAAAAAGTATCATGTACAAAAAAAAATTATGTAAAATATATAAAAACATATCTCAAAATCATTATTTAATGTGACTGGATATTTATTTAAATTTTTTAATACGATATCTATCAATAGTTCATGACATAGTTATATGGTTTGACATGGTAAATATGATTTATTGAATTTTTTTAATTATTAAGGTAATAATTCAAAACGATTTTGTATTATTTCTTATCCATTTTATTGTTTAAAGAATTACACATATTTGTGAAACAAATCAAATTTTTTTAGTATTGCAAAAAAATATCAAAAAACATAATTACTAGCAACCAGTATTCTAGCAACAAATATCTTAAAACCCATTCATCTTTCATCTTAATATTTCAAAAATAAAATATTCCTATAAAATTCACGTGGCAAAAAAAAATTATTTATTATATTTATATATTTCAAATTATGTAGAAATTAAATTAAATTTTATTAAAAATAAATTAAAGTTTTAATTGCAATAGCAATAGTATTTTTTTTCTCTCTCTCTCTCTCTCTCTCTCTCTCTCTCTCTCTATATATATATATATATATATATATATATATATATGATTCAAATATAAATACTCATATATAAAAAATTATAAATATTAAAAAAATAAAAAATTAAGTTTAATTAATGATTTTATTTTTATATGTAATTTTTTAATTTTTATTTATTATTTTTAAGTATAATGATTTTGTAATGTTTTTGAATTTTTATCATATATGTACAATACAAGATAAATATTTATAACATTCAAATATAAGAAAATATGAAGAAGAATATTGCTAAGATAAAAGCTTATTATTGCAAATACAAAACGAATTAATTACTTAACTAAAGATGATTGAAAAAAACTAAAGACATAAAGTAAAACTTGACTTTAGACTTTTATAACATAAGTCTATATTCTAATAATAATTATATTTTAATAAAAAATTACTAATAATTTTTTATCACCAAGGTCTATTTTATTTAAGAATAATTATCTTATTAGACTATTTATGAATATATAGTAGTACCACCAACTTATAGCAGCTACAAGTTATAAATTAGTAG